CAGAGGCTGGTGACCAGCCACAAGCTGGGGGAGGAGATCGTGGCCGACGCCGTACGATGCAAAATGAAGATCCTGCAAAACGACGGCCTGGTGACGGGCTGCTGTGCCCGACCCCGCAAGGTCAGCCAGGCCCTGCTGCTGCTCGGTGGCCAGACCTTCATGTGCGACAAGATCTACATGCTGGATCATAAAACCAGCGAGATCATTCCTCGTGCCGACATCCCAAGCCCTCGTAAAGAGTGCAGCGCCTGCGCCATCGGGTGCAGAGTGTACATCACCGGCGGCAAAGGCTCCGAGAACGGCGCTTCCAAAGACGTCTGGGTTTATGACACCCTCCACGACGAGTGGGCGAAAGCTGCTCCCATGCTGGTGGCGCGGTTTGGCCACGGTTCTGCCGAGCTGGAGCACTGCCTGTATGTGGTGGGGGGTCACACAGCAGTGAGCGGTGCCTTCCCGGCCTCCCCCTCCGTCTCTCTCAAGCAAGTCGAACACTACGACCCGCAGCTGGACAAATGGTCCTTGGTGGCTCCTCTCCGAGAAGGCGTCAGCAACGCCGCCGTGGTGGGAGCCAAGATGAAGCTGTTTGTTTTTGGTGGCACCAGCGCCAACCAGGAGAAGCTGCCCAAGGTGCGGGGGGGACACGGAGTTCTCCGCCAGCTCCGCTTACCGCTTCCACAGTGACACCTACCAGTGGTCCAAATTTGGGGACGTCACCGCTAAGCGCATCAGCTGCCGCGCTGTCACGTCGGGGAACAGACTGTACGTGGTGGGGGGCTACTGCGGGGCTCAGCGCTGCAAGACGCTGGACTGTTACGACCCATCGTCCGACACGTGGAGCAGCGTCACGACAGTGCCTTACTCCCTCATCCCCACCGCCTTCGTCAGCACCTGGAAGTACCTCTCTGCCTGAATCACGCTGTGCTGAAGAACCTGGAAGGTATATAGCTGCGGATCAACCCAGAGCTCCTCTGCAGAACTTCGTGCACGTGAGGGTGAAACCCCGAGGGGCAGATGCACGTGGATCTGGACTGGAGTTGTCCTAGAGAACAGCCTTGTGTGTACATCGGCTCCAGAAACCTGCTTCCAGGCTGGTAGTTAGAGATGTAAAACCCTGCAGGAGAGAGAATGTCTCTTTAGGTGCTGGAACGCTGTGGGGAGAAGATTAGTATAAATAACAAGACGCTTGACCTGGCATCCTAGCCCTTCTGCTCGCTTGGCCTATGCAAAGATTTTGGGGAATGCTGTCTGCGAGGAGGATTGGGTGTCGCCCCTGGTACAGAAAGCTCATCGAGTCGGTCGTTTTGTTAACGGGCAGGCTGGGAGCTGGGATAGACCGCGCGGTGCCGTGGGGGACTGCCTGCTGCTTTTAGCACAGCCTCCTCCTCCTCCTGGTGCCACGGTTAATCGGCTGCTGGCACCTAAATGTCTTGTGGGACACGAGGGCTGCGAGCTGGTGCCAGAACAAGATTATAGCTGGGATTTAGTCCCAGACTGGTTGGTAACTGCATTTGTAAGACAAGCCCTGTCTACATATAAACACAGGGTTTCTCCGCTTCTAATTATTCTCTGGTGTCCCTTTCATGCCATTTTTTTCCTGCTACGCAGCAATTAACTTTTTAAAAATTTGCAGCTGGAATGAAACCTTTCCAAAGGCTCTTGGCAGAAAAGATGCCAGTGAATCACAGATCCCAGCAGGTTTTTTTTCTTTTGCCTTTGCAAGAGGCCTGCTACCCAAATGAACATGTTTAATGTGATAGTGTCCTGCGATACCTATAGAAAATTCCTGGATGTAGAGGGAAACAAGCAGCCGTCACTCCACGAGAGCAGCGTTTGAGGATTTGAGGCCTGGGGAGCGTTCTTGGGTTTGCTGCACTCGGTCTCACAAGACTTCCTTCTGCACTACAGGCTTTGCACCCAATTTTGCCAGCGTCTCGCTTCACTGAGGATCCAGACAGCAGACGTGGGCAGCAGGAACGCCTCCTCCTACCTAGTGAGCCTGTGAACTGGATGCCAGCCCACGCGTGGGTCTCGTTAGCTTCAGCAGGGCTCACGGCAACGGTGCTGGCTTTGAACCACTCCTGTAAATCCCCCTCGTTCAGACCAGGGAGGGGACAAGCACGGAGGGACCTCCTCGGGCTGGCAGCTTGGGCTGGCCTTGGAGACAGCAAAAGGTTTCCAAGTTTTCTCTTAACTTCTGTGATCTCAGAGCAGGAACCGGAGGGACATTTTTTACTTCTTTGACTGAATATTTTGTTTTGAGTGATATTTACTAGAAAGGACGAAGGAAGCTCCTAAGTAACTGGCAGCAGGCTCAGGGCTGCACTGCTGTGACCTGGAATGCAGGCAGCACCAGAGGCTGTTGCCTGAAATGTCTTAACATGGGACAGTGCTTTGCCCATGGGCTGGTTCTGATTCGTTTTTTTTTCTTTTTTAATGCAGCAGTTGTGTGTGTTTATTACTCAGCCTGGAGCTGCTTCAATAAATCTGAATAAAATCCACCGTGTCCCTTGCCTGTTCTGTATGCTTAAGCTGCGAGTTTTCCCAGCCCACACATGAGAGAACGTTTAGCAAAATAGCGAAGAGCATTCCCTGCTTGAGAGCCCAAACCTTCAGCGGCTGGAGAGGGCTCAGATCTTCCTCTGTCTTTGCAACACAGGACTTAGGAAAGCTCAGGTTCTGTACCGCCTTCCAGCTTTGAAGGACACACAAATCTGTTTAAAACTCCAAAGATTAAGCTACTTTCTGCCCTTACCTGGTCTTCCTCACTGCCAAAAAGAATGGAGGAAAGCGCTGCCACTTCTCGGCCCGAGGGCTGTGCGCTCCGGCCCTGCTGCCAGGGGTGGTGGGGCCAGAGGTTGGGAAGAAAAAGCTCTGTTAAGGGTGGGAGGTAGGAGATGGGAATCAGCGCGGTCAGAGGAAACGGGCACTGAAGGTGCAACCAGCCGTCTCACCACAGAAGCATGGTTTGGGTGTGATCCATTATTCAATTGCAAAGTTAAATAAATCAATGTCCCAGCCCTTCCTAGCTGCTAGTATAGGCAAGAACTGGCAAGACTGGGAGGAAGAAAGCTGCCCAGCTGCTGGTGGCTGGAGCAGATAAGCTGACTTCATTTCCCTCCTGTCTTCTGATGCCTCTGCCCTTCTCAGCCCCCAGGCTGGGCTTTTTTTCCTTCACCCTTGCTGTGCCGCCTCGCCATCGCTTACCGAGCCCATCGGGAAGCCTGAGCACCCGGCTGCGGGGAGACGAGCCCACAGCCTCCCCTGCAAGCCCAGCCTGGAGCACCACAGGCGATCACAGAATCATTCCAGTTGGAAAAAACCTTTCAGGTCGAGTCCAACCACCCAGCAGCTGGACTTTATTACCTCGCCGGCTATTCCTGAGGGTCGGACAAAGTCCGACGTCGCTCAGCGAGTCAGAGGAGCGGAGCTTTCCTTCGTGGCCATTTGAGGAGCAGCTGTTTTATTTCTGCTGCCAAGCAATAACCGTTGCCCCCCAGCCACATCCGCCTTTTGCACCAGGGACAAAGTTGCTTCCAGCAACACGGGGCTCTGTCTGCCTCCCGCTCCCGGCGCTGGGATGTTATCTGAGCCACGCTCACAGCGTTTTGCAGCTGGGGAGCGAGCGGCCCTGCTGCTGAAGCCTTTGCAAGCGTCTGTGAATTGTTTCCTCATTTCAGTCTGTACTCGCAGCTAACCACCTCCCCGGGAAAACCGGCACTTCGAGCACACCTGCCTGCCCGCCGGCGGCTCCCGCCTGCTGGCAACAGAGACAGCCGGCGCTGCGCTGCCTTCATCCTCCTCGGCCTGGCAGCGAGCCCTGCGCTGTCCCTCCGGCTCCCGGCACAGCGGGAGCACGCCTGGGGAAAACCAGACGCCTTTCACTCTTGCACGCCCGACGTCCTCCCAGCAGCGCTCAGCACAGGCCTGTTCGCCCAGTTTGACATTGCCATGCCTTGATCCAGTCTCAACTTCGGTGCCAGGGCCAGAGGATTTAGGGCGGTTGGGCTGCAGGTTAATTTGGTTTCGGGGTTAATGTGGTTACTGGGACAGAAAGCCTCCTGAATTAACAGAATTTATAACACAGCTCAAGTCAAGGCCTCTCCTCCTAGCCCAGAACTCAGCTTCGTGGCTGCACCCCTCCAGCTGCAGGAGCTGGACCCCAGGCTGCAGTCACATCTGGAAGAGGCAGCACACAGGGGCATCACGAGGGGCTCAGAGCCAAAACGAAGCGTGACATCGCTCGCCCGTGGGATCTTCCTCTACTCACACAAAGCCTACAAGGCACCACAGCCAGAGAAACACAGCGTCATACTGACCCACTTCCCTCCCGGCCACAAGACACACAACCAGCGCCGGTTTTAAGTGAAATACACGGCTGCTCGCGCTCGTAGCTGCGTTCTGCACGGCAGCAGTGCCGAGGCAGCGCACAGCCCTCCTCCCTTCCCCACTGTAGATGGCCAGTGCTGTTAATTGCAAAAAAACCCAACACAGCAGTAACTGAGAAATTCCCTTTTTCTGTCTAAGACTGGATACAGATCATTCAGATCTTCTGCCATACGCCCACCACACCGGTCTTCAAAAATGAATTGATCTCCCCCACCAAGGTGAGCATACCTAAAGCCAGCAACTCCACGTGCAGCTGCTTTGGGCCAGCTGGAAAGAGAGCAGTGGATGCTCAAACAGAAGAGTGGCCTCCATCGCTCAACGCCATCTCCGAGAGCTGGTATCGGTGGCCTTTCTCTCCTAAAACTGCTCTGACACAGAGGCTAGAGAACAGACCTGCAACAGGTAAGCAGCAGGTTCTCTCTTCTGCCCATGCAATGTGGGTGCTTCTAGGTCCAGACAACAGGCAAACTGAGGTTTTGGGATTGCAGTTCTGGGCTGAAATGCCTTAAATCCAATCCTAGCAAGGAACTGGAGTACACGCTGCTGGTACGCCGACGATCCATAGCAAAACAAACGCCCTAACTGCACACCGTGTGATTTTGTCTGGGACTTCAAATGTGCTGGAAGGGAAAACAGGCCATTACACATCTACCCGTCTGACATTCCCGGAAAGACCTGCACGTCGCAGGCAGACATCTGGGACAGCTTCAGGTCTAGCAACACCCTCCGCCCCACACAGCGAAGAGGCACCGGCTGCTGCTCTGACACGGGAGAGCCACATCCATCGTGCTGCTCAGCGAGGACTTTTCATGCTCCTTGGTGCATGGAGCCCCGTAACAAAGCGATCCTGGCCGTGTTTGAGCCTCGTGTGTGTGTGTGTGATGCTGTCCCAGAGCCAGGGACCATGCGTCGCGCACTCCAACACAGCCAGTGCTAAGAGAGTTTTGGCTTTTATCCTCTGCCAGACCCCTGGGGCCCAGAAGCAGCAAACAATGCAGACACCACACCAGGACAGGCCCCGCATCCCTCGGCTGCTGGGCCCTGCGCTGGGATGAGAAATTAAACCGGATTTGAGTCACAGGGGTGAGGAAAGGCAGAAACCAGCACATTCCCACTGTCGGAGCACACTGCGGAGCCAATATCCTTTGTGCATGTTTGTCCTCAAGCATCTGGCTTGCTGATGAATCGCAGATGAACGTATGGGAACCATCAGCCGTCTCTCACCCACATGAAAGAGGAAGGTTTAGCATAAAGCTGGTCATTGCCTATGGCCTCGGAATGATTCATCCAAATAGAAAGAATGCGGTTTGGGTTTCGGGTTAATTAGCTACAGATTTTAAAGAGAGACAAGGCAGGGCGGAGCTGCTGGAATACTGGTATGAGCAAGTTAACAGCTCTGAAAGCACCGCTGTCCTCCTGGAATCACACCCTCCTTCTGAAAAACGGAGAATGTGTCTCATAGACGAGCGACGGCGTTATCAACGATGCTGTCAGTCACGGTGTTCGCAATCACCAGAGGAATGT